GGTTCTCCTTGAGAGTTATTACACAGTGAAGAAATATCAGGCTTGAAAAAAAATAGTTTCTCTTTGACTGGAAAACTCCTTTTTTCGCAGAACCAGCTTTCATATTTAAATATCATTCTTTTTTCTGATCTTCAGTTTTTAAATCAAAAATAGGGTCAGTTTCTCGACAAGCCCTCTCCAAACTGTTCTGACGATGCCATTCGAAAACAAACTGAAAAGTTTAATCGGTTTTTATCTTATGAAAAGAGGGGATATATTTGTTTTGTCACTTTTTGTCAAAAATAAACGAATTTGTGTAAAATTCAATGTTTTGAAAACAAACTTTTCATTTTAATGCAAAATATTTTCCAACGGTGCACTTGCAAATATTTTTTGTCTTTTTTCCAGCAAAATATGTAAAATATATATTAAAAATTGATAATTTGAATGGTGCATTTAAAGTGGAAAGATAAAACACATTCAGTAGGAATGTTTCATAAGTGTATAAAAATCGTGAATTGTATTTTATCATTCTTTAAGATTTCAACTTTTTGTAATTTAATTTCTTTTGTAATGTACAGTTAATGTAATCTTGAATGTCATTTTCCTCTATAAGTGAGAAGATATTATTATTTTTAATCCTTAATATTATTTTGACTTTCTTCTTAAAAAAAAGAACGTATTATTTATAATAAAAACGGTATTGTTAAATTTTTTAGGGACTATTTTATTGTTGTATAAAACTTTTTAAATTTCGACATAACAAGTAATAGTTCATAATTAATTAAAAAATTTTATATCTAAGAATTTAAAAATTATTTTGAATATAAAGAAAATTACTATCAGCATTTTTATTTTTTGTTTTGTTTCTCACTTCATGTGTTTTGAAATTGTTATTGATAAAAGTTTTTATGATAAGAGGTAGTCATAAATTATTTGACAAAACTAATAGAAAATGGTATAAACAATCTGTCGTAGTCTTTGTAATGCCTTAAGGTTTATTTTTTCCAGTATAGTCTTTTTTACCCTGATTATGCAGTTACAGTTATTGCTCACATGATACCAAAATCCATTTATCATACAATATCCTCTAATCTTTTTGCAGGTCAAGAAACGTGACTTTAACATTTCAATCCCCTTGTTTACACATTATCATACAAATCGATTTCCTGTATTATTAGTGAGAGTCGTGACTATCTAAATCGATCTTCACGAACTAGTTAATACTACATCTTATTAATAAACTGAAGATCAGAGTTGGGCTTGAAAGGATTAATGCTGGGGAATTACAATTTCAAAATAGAAAAAAATCTTATTTCTTTTAAATAAAAAGAGATTTTATCAAGTGCATTTAAAAAGTACTAAAATGATTACTTGTTTGGATATTCTATCTCATATTGTAATAAAGCAAATAATACTAAAAACGTGTATGTAAATGTCTGGCAAAAATAAAATCTTTTCAAGTTGAAGGCTTAGTCACGATTTAAATCATTTATAACATTAAATGTCATGTTAGTAGTTTAATGATGTGTTCGTGAACTTTTAAGATTCGTTTCTGTAACGTGATAATCTATGTAAATTTATCGTAACGAGGTTTTAATTTTAAATTAATTTAATATTATTATATAAGACACTGTACTCAGTTGTAGATTAAGAAAAGACCATTGCTGTATTGGATTTAAGTAATCATCCGCGATTGTATATAGTTCCGTTTTATTTCATTATCCGATTATACGAGGTTTGTAAATTAAATAGTGGAAACTTAACCTTGAAACTCACAAAAGGGTGCGCATTCGTAAATAGGGTATGGGTGCGGTGAGGTGGCGCTGTTGTCGATGTGTAGAGTGCAAAAAACAGTCGATTTGCTTAGAAGGGTAGTTGTTGCGTGGCGTTAAAGTGAGGAGTTTCGTTTCCATCGCTCTAAAGCATGTTGTGAAAAGGCTTAATGACGAAAAAAGACGAGATGCTTGAATCCATTGTGCTACTGTCCTATATGGTAAAGCATTTGCTCCAAAGGCTTCCACTAATCCTCGATAGCATTCTGTTGCATTTTTGCCACGGGCAACCTCGATTGTAAGCCACGACCGCTGATCACCTTTTGAAAACATGCTTTAGAGCGATGGAAATGAAACTCCTCACTTTAACGCCACACAACAACTACCCTTCTAAGCTAATCGACTTTTTTTGCACTCTACACATCGACAACAGCCCCACCTCACAGCTCCCATATCTAATTTGCGCATGCCCGTCCTTCTGTGAGTTTAAAGGTTAAGTTGCCACTATTTAATTTACAACCCTCGTATACGTATGCTTTCAAAACAATATAAAAGTTTTTAAAAGTTGAAAAACGTCAGACAGAAATTTAATTCTTGCTATCTTTTACGATATGTTGATATGATGATGTTGATATACCTTTGCGATGGAAGCTTGGCATCCATTTGGCGAGAATTTAGATGAAAAAAGGCTCTCTCCATGGGAGTAATGGTTTTTTCTTAACATGCAACTGAGTATAATGCATAGATTGTTAAAAAAGCGAGAATTTTTTTTCGCGTTGGTAAAAAGGAGCTGATAACTCATTGATTCAACAGAAAATTTGTCGTTATGCTTTGGTTAATTATACCGTTTAGGTTTAGTTGATCCTAGAATAAAATTTTTATAGTTATATATCTATTAAACGCGTTTTTTTTTAAAAAAATTTTCAATGATTGGGGCATTGAAAAAGAATAGGAACGAGAAAAATTTAAAAAAAGAAATCAGTAACATCGAAACGCTCATGAGATAACCGAAGGTTGTCGTGCTTGAGTTCGATTGCTTACCAATATCTCGATAATTGCACTAAAATTTATAATTGTGGGAGCAAGGAAATTCTATGAACTATTTTTTCCACACGCAATTACAGAGTAGCATTAAAATATATATAAATAAAATCGTAATTTATATAAATTGAATGAAATGTTTATAAATCGAAGGTTCCACAGAATGAGTATATGTTGCTCATTTTCGAAATTTCCTTTTAAAAAGAATAACATCATACATAATGAGTAAGAATAAAAAAAATAAGTATATAAGCAAGCTCAAATTGCAAAGTGAGCTGAAACAAGCTGCAAAAGCAGTTTCCGGGGTAGGCGAGGGAAGCGATAAAAGGTTGGGGCACACGATTAATATGAAATATGTTTTAATACATATAAGCGTGAGCCGTGATGGCTCAGGTGATAGAACGTTTGCCTTCCGATGAGGTGAACCGCGTTCGATTCCCAGTGATTGCTGGTCGATACGCATTCCGCATCCAGCTTGCACCGACCACAGTGTTGACATAAAATATCCTCAGTGATAGACGGATCATGGGTTAGAGTACCCTGGTCATCAGGCTAACCATGGGAGGTTTACCTGGTTTCCCTTTCCATGTAACGCAAATGCTGGTTAGTTCCATCATAAGTCCTCCACGAAGGCAAATTTCTCCCACTACTTGGTCTAGGAGTTCCCTTGACTTTTGAATTGGGTTCAAAATTACAAGGCTGTGGAATTGAACATTAGTAGTCGTAAACCCAAAATTCAATGACGGTAATAAAATAGTAAAAAAATATAGATATGTGTCTATTTCACAAAGTTGGAAACAACTATAATTGACAAAACTCATACTTATTTTTTAAATGCCTCGACATTCTGAATCTGAAGAAATTGATAACAAATCTAAAACTTTTCTATCACCGTCGTATTTGGCCAATGCATGACATATTTTATATAAATCATGTTACTCAAATCTAAATGTACATTTTTAAAAAAAATCATATATATTAAAATGCACATTTAGATTTAGGATTGAGTAAAATGCAGAAAAAGTACACATATTAAACAACCCCTTTAAATTACGGTAGTTTCATTTTTGCCATTAAGTACCTTACAAACTCTTTTTGTATAATCAATTTCTATTTGAATAATTTAAAAGAACAACTGAAAAACAGGGGAAAAATATTTCACAACAAGCTTTAAAGAACAATGAAAAGCAATAAATCCTTATTTATTTTCTTCAAAAAAATTATTTTAAATCTTGAAAACAATTCTGAATTACGAATGGTATCATGCCGGTACTAAATTCTCATTATTTAACAGCCCTCGATTTATTTAATTTGTTTGCTGAATTTGTAGTCATATTACTTTCATTAAATGAAATTTTTTTTTTTCAAGACAGAAAATGATTTAAGGATTTAACTATAACGTAGTTACGTAACGTAACTACGTTATCGATAACGTAATGTTAACGTAGCAAAAGTTTAGAAATCCGTTTCGGGATTGAGAAAGATAAGAAATTTGAGAATCCCGATAAATCTCCAAACTATTAAATATTATATATGCGAAAAATGACATTTTGTTTAATTTATATGTTATATTATTTAATCACAAGCAGACTACATACTTTTTTTTGTCGCGCTTCAGTTTAATACGTTCGCTTGCAATCGAGCTTGCTACGCTTGCTCATTGGATACTTGTTGCTTTTAAGGTTTTGTATAAATAATACATATGCTAAAAATATACAACCTATCCATTATTTAAAAATTTGATTTGTATACTTTTCAGTTTATAAATGCTATAGTTTGATTTATAAATATTTTATTTATATACATTTCATTAAAATTTGGAAATGAATAATTCATAGAATTCCCTATATACGCAATTCTAAATTTAATTTTTCAGAGTCCTAAAAGTTTTAAGTCTTTTATTCTATTATGGACTCGTAAAATCAATAACAAGAAAAGAAACAGTTAGAAAATGAAAAAAAAAATATATATTTCAGCCTTGATCTCTATTTATTCCCGTTTTTTGCAGTTTCATTAGAATACCTCCCTATTCTACATAAATTATGATGCTTACTTGAAGGTAACATTAGAAATAACAAAATTACATTAGAAATAAGAAACACATTAGAAATAACTATAATGATATCTGGGGAAGTTATAAAGAATACGATTTTGTTGCAGTTTGTCTGTTTTTATAAGCCGTTTACTATTAACTTTTCATTTTAGCACAACTTATAATTCAGATTGTTTCTGGTTTTCGATGACAACGTCAGAAAAGAAATTTCATCGGTTTTGTGACAATACATGCGTGAGTATATTAGATAATATATTTATTTTTCTTACAAGGTTGAATTATTGAATTATAAGCTGGCATAACCGACCCTTGCCTACAATTACAGTCTAAACAAAGAGATTTATAGAAATAATTACAAAAATGAGCATTACCTTAAAAGAGTGATCCACTTCCCTGTTTACGTGAGTGAAACGCCAGAAGTAAAAACTCCATAACTGGAAATAACTCACACACACACTCTCTCGTATATTTTTCTAAAAACGTCACCCCTGTTCATGAACCCGACACATAAACCGATTTGACGAACTGATGGGTGACATACATCGCATTAAAATATGGATGAATAATTGACTACTTTAAAAAAAATACACTGTATGTGAAATTTGGTAGAAAGTGGTGGGATGGGACAGTCTTATGAACATTTGTTGCGGTTGAACAATAATGAAGATCGTTTTGTTTTATTTGATTGCTGTAAATAAAACCGTTAACTCAGCTTATTTCAGTTTGTTGTTTTTTTTTAATGGTTATTAAAAATTAAATTTGAGTTTTTACTTTTTTTTATCGTGATTTTCGCTCTTTGTTATTAATTTTACTTTCGATTTCCAGGCGATTGAAGTGTTTTGAAGAGATTTCGCGTCTTTTATATATTTTCTGCACTTTCTTTCAAAAACACCACATTGTGTTTATGAACCCGACACATAAATGAATTTGACGAACTGATGGTGGACATACATCGCGTTAAAATGTAGATGAATAATTGAATATTTTTTAAAGAAGGAAAAAAAAACATATGCGACAACTGGTAAAAAGTGGTGGGATGGTGGGGCAATTTCATGATTATTTGGTGCGGTTTGCGCAGCAATGAAGTTTCTGATAGGTTTCTATTTTATTTAATTGCTGTAAATTAACTCAACCGATAACTTAAAGTATTTTAGTAAGTTGCTTTTTTTTTCTCGGTTATTACATATTAAATTCGTGAATTATCATTTGCCCATCATGATTTTTGCTCATTGTCATTAACTTTACCTTTTAGTGCCATCAGGGTAATATTGAACTGTGTGGAAAATATTTGATGTCTTTGCTATCTTTTCCGCACTTTTTTTAAAAAACATCGCATCGTGTTCATGAACCCGACGCATAAACCGATTTTACGAACTGTTGAGTGACACACATTGCTTTAAATTATGGATGAATATTTAACCATTTAAAAAAAAAAAGACGAAAACTACGTTGTATGTGAAATCTGGTAAAAAGTGGTTAGATGGGGCAGTTTTATGATCATTTGGTGCGGTTAAGCAGCAATGATATTTGCGACAGTATTTTCTTTCATTTAATTGTTGTAAGTAAACTAAGCCGTTAACTTAGCGTATTTCACTGTTATTACATATGAATTTTATGAATTAACTTTATTCTTCCACGATATTTGTACATTGTCATCAATTTAACCTTTTAATCCCATTGAGCTACAAGGAAGAGATTTAGAGTCATTTCTTTTTCCCGCACTTTCTTTCATAACTCCATTATACCATCGTTTTTATTTTATTTATTTATTTTTGGTAGTTAAATAAGGAACTGCGAAGTAGCGCTTTTGTATCCAAGATGATGCTGGTAGTCAAAGTCAGCTAGTATTAATAATGATAATTAAATATAAATGATATAAAAGAATGGTAAAATCACAGAATATGAAAACGCAAGTGATATCTTTCGTCAATCAATTGCGACCATCTGTTTAGGATGCAAAACTAGTATCATAATAAAATAATATGCTTAGCGCATCATTTATTTTGCTTATCATATTTTAGAATGGCGTTGAACTACGTCACCGGTGTAAATTGCGATAATACACACATTTAAAATATTTCAAATAAAAGTAGTTAAGAACAAAAATTAATAACGTGTAAGTTAGGTACAGACTTTTCATTTGTTAATGAAGTGTTTAGTCCATTCATTAACTGATTTTCAAAACCAAATATTTACTGGTTCATTAAAATTTTATTTAAAAGTTAGTTTCTTTTCTTTGCTAAAAAACCTTAAATAAAATAAAAATATCATTAAAAACTTAAATCAAATCATAAAAATCATTTGACATAGTAGCGGACTTTTGTGTGACAAATTATAGTATATAAACTTTTTTATTTGTTTACGAACTGATTAGTTCAGTTATTAGCTGATTTTCTCAACCAAATATTTACTGTTTTTCCAAAAATTTAATTAAAAAATTAGTTTTTTTTCTTTGCTTATTCTATTGCTATAACAAGAATCACAGACAGTAAAGGATGCTGCGGCGATGAACTATTCATAAAAATATTAAATATCGGCAACTATAGTCAATGACCATTTCCGTTAAAAAAAACACAGGGTCTGAAGAATTGGAAGTTTTTGAAATAAGCAAAATAAAGGTTGTTCCGAAAATTACCCGATGATTTGAAATTGACCAATGGATTGTAAGGTTTACAGAGTTCTGCATATGAAAGCGGTTATTTATTCTTACCGAAATTTATAATTAATTACTAAGTTTCTCAATAGAGGGCATGGCGTTCTGTACTGAAAAAACTGGAGAACAATGTTTTCTGATGCATTCCAGACAATTTGTAGTGAAATATTCGCACGGGGCTGAATTAATTTAGTCCTCCGAATGCTATACGCTGTTGTTGAAAGTCGTAGTTATTACAATGGTTTTATCAGTTAGCAACACCATCTCTTGACGAATTTTGCAACTATTTTTGCGATTTGGTGAGACATTTATTGCTAATACAACAAATTGTACATTTGAATATCTTTTCCTCTGAAATTTTTCAAATAGTCGGTCATTTTTGGGTTACCATAGTCATTTTTGGCTTACCATTTTCCATTCAAATCCTTTTATTTTAAGTGATGAGATTTATAAGGATCTGTAAGTAATTCTATTTATTATAGGGAATGATCCATAAAAAAAGTTACACTCAACTTTAAACTTGCCTGACTTATGCTTCAAAGTTAGCATAGATTATTGATAGGTAAATGCTTTAGTGTGAAGAAGCAGTTTTCGAAAAAAAATATTTTCAAACAGATATAAATTAAATTTAAAAAAAATAAGGAACATTTTATTAAATTTCTCAGATTCCCATTTTCTACTGGATTAAATTGGTTAGTAATTAAAAAGAATAATTGGAATCAGCAATTAAAAATGTATCAAATATATATGATTAAGAAGGGTGCTATGTCTTCGTAAAAAGTTTTTACTTAAAATTAAGAAAACCTCATGAAAATGATTTTACAAATTACATTTATGATACTTGTAAAAAAAGATGGTTAAAATTATTTTGTACCCATTATTAGCTGCAATGGTTTTTAAAAATTATACTTCTTTTACAAAAAAAATCCAAAATTTTCGCATTTAGTCCAAAATACTTTTTTCTTATCAGGGTGAAATTTAATAAGACAAATTTAGACCTCTGTTATCCCATTTAAATAAAATGGAGCTTAAACAAGCTTCATCTTGATTATCTTTTTCCTGATTATGGATATTTAAATGATAATGGGCTACATCAGAACTCGGAAAACTGAATAAGACTCCTGGACCTTAAAAATTGCCAAATTTTCGAAAATAAATTTTGTGTATAAATCGTTAAGAAAATTTCTGTTTGTCATTTGATGTTAAAACTTTTATTATAGAAGTATTTTTAAGCAAATTATAATAATTATATTGGCAAATTTGTGTTAATTTTGCAAAAGTTATTATCCTTAAAAGTATTTAAGAATTATCCCTTCAATCATTTTCGCCAACATCTCGTCAAAGTCATTTTGCTATCTCTTAAATTGGTTTTATATAGTAATTGATAAAAGAGAAATTGACAAAATGCAAATATAATCTGCAAAAAAAAATATTTAAATTTGAACTATTTCTAAATTTATTTTCAGATTTGGCATAAGGAGTTGACGGGATAATACGCAAGTACCAATTTTATACTCAATAATTTTTTTCCTAATTTCTCATCGCAACTCTATTTTCCATTAATTTTCTTGAAAGTTTTATTTACAAATGGATTTAAAAGATCGCTAGGGATTGTTCTGTTAGATAGTCTTAAAGTGTTAGTCTTAGTTTAAGTAATTGAAATTTTTCGTGCGATTTTTCAGAAAAAATACCTCAAGGGTAATTTTTTTGCTTTTTCTGTTTAAACTGATGTTTTTTTATTTATTTATTTTCATGTTAAACAGCTTTAAATAAAATTTGAACATTTTTTTTGACATTTAAGACACGAAGTATAAATTTAGTCCTTTTTCACTGCTGCATATTTTTGTACAATTTTTTAGGAAACATCCAAAAAAATTTTTTTTGAAAAATTGTAATTAAGTTAATATTGGTTTAATAAATTTAGTATATTGGTTTAATATAATTTATCTTCAGTTTAGAGATCTTGTGTTTCCTTCATATTTCTCTAGTTCAATACATTTTAAAAGCCTAGAGAAACGAAGAAAAAGTAGTTCTAACGATGAATAAATCACTTTTTTGTATGTCGTTATTAGCAAGTATCTTGCTTTCATATCTGATCACAGAACTCACATTGTTCATAGTGAGATATCCAAGAGACTAATTCTGCGCTTTAAAAGTAAATGCGTACTTTATTATAATGGTTTAAATTTATTTTTGCCATAATTTCGATATAAATAAGTTCCTTTCTTGCCTTTCTTAACTTCGATTTGAGGCAAATTACGGAATTAGTGTAAGCGTTCTGTTAAAAAATGTATATCTTTTGTAACATTAATTATTCTAGCTGTTGAATTATGTGTCCCAAATAGTAAATATTTTTTTCAGACAATGTGCATTGACATGAAAAATCATTCTTTTGTAATTATAAAATTAGCTATTTTTTAATCCACCAATTTTTTCCGGGGTGAATAAACATATTAGGATATCGGTGTTATACTCATCTTCACATTTGCAGTCATCTGTAAATTTATGGGTGAGCAAATATTTGCATTCGTATATGCAAGCATGGAAATTATAATAATATCGAAACTATCATTTAGGAAAAATTATTGCATTTCTCATTAAGTCCAGATTCTATGGAAATTAGTGCAATTTTGATAAGATGATTTTTAAAAAAAATCTGATTTACAATCTTGAGGCTTTTTTTTTTGTAATACCAATTAGTAATTCATGTTAGGGTTTTAGAGTGAATTTTCTTCGAAATTGCTTTCTAATATTTTTTCTTTGTTGAAAAAAAAGCTTTCTAAAACTTGAACACAAATAGCTAATTGCTATTACAAAAAAAGGCTAAGCAATTGTAATACCGATTAAAAAATTATCTCATCAAAAATGCACAGAATTCTATCGAATCTGGAAGTAATGATAAATGCATTTATTTTTTTTTTCTAAATGAAAAATGTACAGTGTGCAAAATAAAAAACATAACACCGTGAATAACTTTTTATATAATGTTGGGATCTTCACGTTCTAGGACTCCATTTTAAGGTTCAAAAGGGTGACTTCAAATATGTTATTTAATAAGTGCTGACGATATATTAAGTTCCAAAATCAGACACATAAACGTACTTTCACTGAATGAACCTTGAATGAACAGACTTTTTTTTTCACGGATTCGGAATTCTGACTTCCAAAAAATAGGGGGCAGCCCACAATCTGGGACATATAGTCCCAATAGTTTGGTCTGGACAGCGGTCCAAAGTTTGAACCCCTAAATGTTAATTTTTGCGTATTTTGCCATATCTAAATTTTTTTAAGCGAATTAAAATTTTTCTTGCATATAATTATAAAATTCATTTAGCCAAAGATAATTCTATAAATTTTTTTTTTTTTTTTTAGTGAGTATGCAATTTTTTATTAGTGTTTTTTTTATAATAGTCGAAAAAATTTTAAATTGTAAGGTTATGCAATCTTTTACAGTTTTAAAAAATGCATTTTTACATAACAAAATACAAAATTTGAGCAAAGTCAAATTGAATTTTAGAAAAAGAGATAAATTGAAATTTAAAAATATGGCTTTCAAACTATTCGGCAGATAACACATTTCGCTCATATTTTGCCAGTTAAAATTTTTTATTAAAACTATGGGAAAACTTGTATACTTCGACTATTATTTAAGATAATAAAAAAATAAATATGTATTAAGAGTTATATTTTGCATGGAATGAAAAAAAAACAAATTTTATAATTCATAATATTGTGCAAAAAGTTTTTTAATTCGCTTAAAAATTTCTCGAGATGTGTCAAAATATATAAAATTAACATTAAGGGGACCAAACTATTGAGACAATTTTTCCCAGATTGCGGCTACCCCCTATATTTTGAGGGTCAGAAATCCGGATCCATAGAAAAAAAAGGTATGTTCATTCAGAGAAAGTACGTTTTTGTGTCTTAAATATAACTTAAAATATCGTCTGCACTAATAAATTAGCATACTTGGGATCACTTCCTCAAACAATTGAGTCCTAGAACGTGAAGATCCGATCAAAAGTAATTAAGGGTGGTTCGTATTTTATACTGCGCACCACTGTACATACAATTGCGAATCTTTGCACACCCATAAATTTACGGATAACTACAAATGGGAAGGCGAGTAACCGACATCCGAAAATATTTATTCACTCCGAAAAGAGTTGGGGGGGGGAGTGAAAAGTAACAAATTAGGCAATTTAATTTGCTTGGGAAACCCTGCAATTTTTTTCGATCGTGCACTGTATCGGCTGGCCCAATGTATGTGTTTAAGGTACGTACTAATGAATCTCATTTTTATAACAATACATTAACAATTTCATGCACGAAGCACAGCCCTGGAATTAAACAATTACACCTTTTATAAAATAGAAGACTAAACAGTAAATGTTTGAGTATAAATATTTATTTACAATTGATAAAAACATACATTTTACACTAGAAAAAAAAAAGCTTTAAACTTTTTCCATTCATACAATTACACATAAAACAATGAAAGCACACGTTGATGCACAAAAATGATTTTTCCCTGTGATTTTTCAGTGGTCCCCGGTAGACAAGTCAGTCTGATATACATCAGGTCACTAAAAATATTTCCCTGAACAAAATATTCAGGTTTTGTGACACAAGTAATGAAAATTGATAAATATAACTCACTTATGATAGACGAATCACTAGTTTTGAACTATTTACCTCAAAAGCACGTTCGCTTTCTGTTAAATCATAGCCAAATGACGAGTTTTATGAATAGACTAACATAGTTTAGAAGTTCCAGCTTCTGCTACACTAATAGTTCTTCTCACTTTTTTTTCCAGAGAAAAGTCCTTCTCTTGCAAAGATTTATCACATTTGGCTATGGCGTCACCAACACATGTTTAGCATCTACCGTCAAAATAAAAAAAAAAACCTCAGCTAATCACTTGCATAATCCAGTTCGTGAATTTAGATATCCTAGTGCAGACACCAGGCATGTTAGGCTCTGCACAGCCGATGCCCCAGGATATAATACCAGCGAGAAACCAGCGTCCATCTTTCCTCTTTGCTTGCAACGGGCCTCCAGAATCTCCCTGAAAAATTATTGAATAAATACTAAGTATACTCGTGAGAAAAAGTAGAAGTTTAATAACGTGTCCTCTTTCTGGAAAACAGGATAGTTCCATAAAGATAACAGAGTTCTGTTCTGGAAAATATGTCAAAAGGGCAAGTACATTTTGAAATTTTACGATCAAAGTTTTTGAAATGGGGTTATTTATATCCATACAAAATTTATATCAATAGTAATAAGCAGAAAAACTTTCTGAAGACAAATTACCACCTAAATAGTACTTATCACAAAATTTGAAGTAAACATTTTATTGATAGTTTGATACTATTGTTAATAATAGTTTCTAAATTCCAACAGATGGCGCTCTCTGTAAAGTGATGTAAAAGGACTAACTGCATGCAGTTTCCTTATTGGCGCTGTACCATCGGCTCTCCAAATGTTACATACAATGATCTCGGGGTTTTAAATCATTACAAACGCCTTTAATGTATTCAATAACAAAAACAATGAATGGTGTTCAGGGTACAGTGCCAATGAGGAAACTGAATACAATTTATCCTTTTACATTACTTTGCAGAGCGCCATCTGTTGGATTTAAAGAAATTATTATTATTAACATTGAGATATATTATTAACACCCATACGACTTACTTGAGTAAAAGTAATGCTAATCAAATTCTTAGAGAAAATAAAAATGTCTGCAATTCAAAAAGGAAACTTTGCATCAAGATTTTGATCCTTGATGCAAAGTTTGTATGGTTTCGAAAAGCATTTTCAAAAGCTTTGATACTCTAATTTCAGAATATGCCACGAGTACTGAAGCATAAAACATTCATTGAACATGCCATTGGGGGAAGTAATACTGCTTCTATAAATATAAAGAATGCATTTCAAACTTTTCATGGAGTGTACTTTTCACAAGTGACTGTAACATGTTAATCTACATGAACTAATTTCAAAATCTTTCTTCACTCTATAATAAACTTTGCATTTAAATTTTTGAAAGCGCACAAAAAGTTAAAAAATTTGTAGTTAGACTTATTATACTACTACTAAATTAAACTTATTTTGTGTATTTTTACATAAAGGAAAAAGTTTAACAGGATTTTAAGCTGGTAAAACTTTGAAATAATTGTTTGGCATCAAATATCAAATTGACTGATGAGCAAATGTTTTTAAATTTTTTGTGAAGTATTTCTTTTACATTCACTAGACTCATAAAAAAAGTTAGTTTGAATTAAAGCTGTGCATCTCTTGTTTAAATAAATCAGTTTTCATTTACAAATCATAAATTAGATGAACGCTATTTAATTTTTGGTTGGGCCAATTTTTTCTTGTAAAACTCGCCTACGTAGGATTAAATGAAAATAATTAAACTCATCTGAGAGTTGTTAGTTAGTAAATTAAGTTCAAATTCTAAAGCTTGTTAAAAAAATATAATATCTAAGATATAAACATAAAACAAAAGGTGTACCGTGTTTCTTTATAATATTAAGTAGTTGTGTATATTAAGTAGCATTATAACATCAAGTAATAGCATTGTAACACTACTACTTAAATATTGTAAAATCACCTCACACACTTTGTTAAAATAGTAATAGTGATACTTCTTAAATAATTAAAATCTTTCATAGTGCAATTTGTTTTATTTTATTTTATGTATCAAAATGTATTGTATTGAACTTAGTTACTGAATTTTAAATTTTATCATTGTAAGGATTTTTAAAATTTATGCTTTATGCTTTAAAAGAAAACTTACACCTAAAACCTAAAATTTGGTAACTAGTTTCAAATGAAGACATTAGAAAAGCATCAAAAGTGAATTTTCAAAAATTGCGAGAAAAAAATTTCTCTTGAAAATAGGTAATATCTGAAAGGTTTGATCCCAGCATTCCAAAATATTGTAACAGTTTTAAAATACAAATTTTCCAGTAATATGTTTGGAAGTAAGAAATACAATGTTTGCCTATACTAATTGCTTTGACTTACTTTAAATCAATTGATTCATGTTAAACAGTAATATCAGAAAAATAGGTTTAGCATCAAAATCTATTTTATTTCCCTTGCACTTGACATGGAAAACGTTTTTATAAAAATAAAATATAAAAACTTTATCTTCTTTTAAGATAAATATAACAGCATTATCACACTTTTTTCCTAGCAAAATGAAAACCGTTTACGATTACATAAGTATTAACAAATACATTTTAAAAATTTAAATTAATAAAATTTAGCACAATTATACAATTTAATTTTAAAATTATTTGGTTTAACTAATTTTAACTTAAAATTTAAAATTATTTTTCAGTTTTCATACATAAATGCACTGAGTTTACGTACATTCAAATATAATGATGAATCTCAATAGTGTTTGTTCCATGATACGTGCTAACACAAAAAACTTAGTAAATGAGTTTTTAATTTAACTTAATTGCAATACTAATTCTTGAAAAGGTTGTTTTAAGGTAAAGATTTTACTATTTTGAAAAGAATATAGCTTATATACTATAATATATATTAATACTATTATACAATTAATATTTATGTTCTAGACTTATAACTTATGTTCTATATATGCTATAAGATGGCATCTAAGTTTTTGGCAGCTTTTGTTCGAAAACTCATTCAGTGACCAAGATGACCATTTATAATAAAGTCAAAGACTCAGGTTACTAGTCTGTTCAAGCAAGGGAAATTTTCATTGCAAAAATTTAATATATATATAATTAGAAACGTTTTGCTTCATGAGTTAAACAGCCATTTTATAGCAATTGGAATGTTTTTTCCTCTCATTTAAATCAAAAGTATGCAGCCAACAGAAAAACATTGATAATATTTGAAAGCATTAAAATTTTCATCATTATTCATTATTTTTTATCGGATAACAAGTTATCTGATAAAACCAGCTCATTAACATAAGAAAGCTGGCTAATTAAATCAATAAAACTTGGAATTAAAAGTAAGTGAAATTTAAGATGCGAAAGTAATTTTAAAATTACTTACACAATTTTTTTTCAAGATAATGAGAAACTAAGCATACCTGACATGAATCTCGTCCCCCTGCTTCATATCCTGCACATAAGAAAATGTCCGGAATACTTTCTTGCCGCCCCGCAGTATGGAACATTTGTTGACACTTTTCGTTGCTGATGATTGGCACTTGTACCTGCTGTAGTTTGGAGGGCAAAGTACCACCTAAGATACATCCATTTTGTATTAGAATCAATGCATAAGAAAAATAATAATTTTTAGTCACAATATATCATTAGGCTCTAGTGTGATTTAATATGTTTATGCATCATTAAATGCTTTAATTTTCTTATCTATGAAACTTGAATTGCCTTATGTATACTAGCAATATGTGTAAACGTAAGAACACACACTATATGATAATTGATTAATTATATTGATGTACTTCAGCAATTAAGTGTCGAAATAAACAATTTAAAGTCGCTTAGCCGTTTCGTTTCTTAAAAGTATGCTATGGTAAAATTTATTCAAAACTCTGTGCAATACCCTTGATGCAAATCGGGTAAGTGAATTTATAAAACCAATTAAATTTACTATCATTAAAAAGTTTCTTTATAAAGTAAATTTTGAAAAGTAAAAAAAAAACAGATATTCTGTGAATCAAATCAGCAAGGAAACAATGGATATTGGATTGGATTACTATCAGAAAAGCAGAACATTTCATAGTGCATGAAACTCAAAGAACAATACTTAGTCAAGGTTGGACACATTTATATTGCATCAGACTTATTTCTTTACTGTGCCCCTTTTGCACATCTACAAAAGCTATTTAGAATTGGATTTTTCATGCAGTCTTCTATAATTTAACATTGAAAAGTACTTTGAACATCTGCAAAGGTGTTTGCCTCAGTAAGGGAGCATTATAGACCACCAGTCTGTGCTAGTTTTAACTTTGAAAAGACATGCTGTTTCCCCGCGTGTAGCTTCCTTAGTTTATCGCCATTCGGTAAGAGAGATGATTGCTGTTAGGAAATTACACCATTTCTTATTTAAACCATTTCCTTCGTATATTTGAGTTCTGATGATTTTGTTTATTATTGCAAAGATTCCATTATTTACGTTGAGTATCAATGAATTTATAACATTATAAATCGGGTTTTGCATCGGGTTTGCAAAGTAACAAAAGCTTTTTTCCTCTTAAAAATTGTATCTGACTTTTTCTCTGTATGCTTCCTGTATTCTTTGACCAATTCCACATACGAAAATTATTATTCTTTACTTTTGCAAAGTGCGAAGTGAAGAGTTAAGATAAAAATTAAACTTACTTATTTAAAGATAACAGAATTGAATGAAGCTATAAACTATATCCATGCAAAAGAAAGCTATGAAGACATGCGAAATAAGAAAAAAAGCATTTAAAAAACTAAATCTTTCTAGTAGACAAAAATTGAGATAATTTATTGTTATATTTATTTAGCTAACCAAAGCGCAGCATTTTCGAACATAGAGGATGGGAATTTTCGATTGTGCTTGATGTTCGACGTTTATTTTGTAACAGATAACATTTTGCATTTCTGATGTGTAGATTCTGCCTTCTTATTTTTTCCTTTTTAGTCTAGAAAAACGCAGAGTTTTCAAAATTTTAATTTAATTTTATTACTTTCGTTTATTTTTGGTTTTACGTCTGTAATTTTGTTTAGGTAGAAACGAAGTTGAATTTTCAACTTGAGATACATTTTTCTCGTGTCATTTAATAAATAATTGTAACTTGGATTGATTTCCAGAACAGAACTTCAGGTAAAATTTTAACTTTGCTCAAAAATAGGCAGAGATTTGTATTGGTAATGATATTCATTTGACGATAAAATGGTGACAAACTCTGATTCCATTGACTAGAAATCATGGAAACTAGTGTTATGTGTTCGTGCTAAAATTTAAGCATCTGAGTTGCTCGAAAACGTCAAAATATCTCAAATCAATATTTCATCTTCATAAACACGAGAGTAAAAAGATGAAAAATCACTAAATTATCTCGAGGTTTAGTGACTAAAAAGGTGGACAAATGGTGAAGAAAAATTAAAGTTAATTAAATGTTAAGGAAATGTTAAGGAAAAATAAATGGAAAAATATGAAACCTTCACTCAGTCTTCCCCATCCAGTCACTGTAGCATTCAGTCCAATGAATGTGTCGTCCATATCGGGCAAACATATGGGCCTGACATGGGGTTGAAGAGTTAGAGGAGACTCCAGCTTCACAAGAGCTAGATCATGCTCGTACGTGAAAAAGTTGTATCTTGGGTGTACCACTTTCTTCTCTATACCTCTTTCTTGGAAAGGGGCCGGTTCTTGTACTGTAGAGAAATCAAACTCCCCTACACGAATTCGTATTTGAGACTTGAGCAGGCTAGAATACAAAAAGTAAAACTTAGAAATAAAGATGTTTAATCAATTTAAATATTTGCACATTAAAAAATCAGCTATGAATTACTTAATAACGAAATTTTAATTAATCACAATGTAAACAGGTCGCTATTTGTATTGATCTGTTTACTCTATAACTAAATTTAGTTTGGGAACATACATTATTTAATACGTTACATTGTTTAATATCTCCCTTTGGGAATTAAGTGGTCGTTTTTCGAAGAAAAAAAAATTAAGATGACAGGTACATTACAGTTCTAATTATTAATTTAAATGAAATTATACAGTTCTAAAATAAACTTTTGTTCCCCATTTTACGACACGGACGTTGATCATTGACTGTCTCACATAATGAATAAAAAAATATTCAGATATAAAAAAACCTGCAAAAAACTCTTATTTATTAAACAGAATTTTAAACATCACTGATGTTATTTTTTAAATACTATTTGGAAAGAAAAAAATAATTCGTCTACAGTTTAATTAATGCGACATCAATAAAAAATTTCCCTTTTTAAGTGTCTTTCTCGAACGATTTGATTGAAATTTTCGACTTCAAGTTAAAATTCTCCCCCTTCACCTGTTCTACAAACTCCAGGACCACCAAATGGTTCTGGAGTTAGGAGTAGGAAACACGTACAAATTTATATTTTTAATAATTTCCAGTTTACTGCTGAAATCCAAGTAAACCGAGCACTTTTTTTCCCTACTCTTCACTTTACAAACTTTAAAAAAATTTAGAATATAAAAAAAATAATAACCTACCGCATTCACTTGATTCAGATTTTCATACAATTTGTTCTCGGCAAAAAGATATTAATTGAAATTTATTCGGTGAATAATTATAATAATACTAAACATTCGTTGGATTTTCGACAAGAAAAGGGAATGATACTCTTTGTAAATAAAATACACGTCTTAAGGTTAAGCGATTTCCCCACTCTTCGCACTTCTCCCCTCACCATTTAAACGGTTTCGCAAATCTTGCTTTTTCCCCAAGCAAGTATATTCCAACTGTTTACTGAATTTACCATGGGGAAAAAAGCAAGACTTGCCAAAATCATGCAAACGGAGAGGGGAAAGTGTAGAGTGTGGGGGATGTGTTCAAACTTGAGACGTCTATTCCATTTACTAAGAATATAGAAAGTGTAAAGTGTGAGATGCAATTGTAAAAAAAATATGTAAAATGCATTAAAATAACTTCGTTTAGGAAAGTTTATTTTATTTGTTGTCATATCATTTCGGCATAGAGTAGAATTATAAATGGATCTTTTATTTGAATTTAAATTTACCATTCATCTTAAGACATATGGCGTATTTTTTAAAGGCTTTAATGCAATTCTCACGAGAAGCTTTATAATCAATAATTTTTATAGAAAACTTATAACTCGGACAGTTTTCTAGAACTATTGATTGAAATTTTCAAACTCTGCGTTTCACTTGGTGATTAATTCAAAGAGAAAAATTTGCGTAAATTTTTTTTTAAAAATGTTTTTCGATCTACGCAACAAAAAATGAGGCATGAACTTAAAACTTAGACACTTTTGACAAATATGTTATTAGTTGTAATATAGTTCATTTGTTGGCGATTAATAAAATTATAATCAACCAGTAGGCAGGGATAGACTGATTGGTAGGACGTTAGGCTCGAGTTTGTAAGAATGGGAATTCGAATCCCACAGGCCGAAGAATCCCTGTCTATTAAATGGAAATCGGTGCACGTTAACTCTATCGGGGTCACGAAGTCCTTCAAGTTCCCATAACAAATCCATACCTCTGGTAGTACTGAAATGGACAAAGATCGTTCACTGGTTCAGATCAAAATTACGATATGTGGATGAATGGATTGACTATGAATGGGTCTTCCCGGTAAAGTGGGGTGAGTGGATGAAGTCGTATTCTTGGCCATAGATGGCGCCACTGAAAAAAACGAGAAACGCACACTTTGCCTAAAAAATTCGCTTGATTTGAAGCAGGCTTGATGATTGGCATAACATAACATAACATAATCAAACAGTAATTTTACGTAATATTTTTATTCTGTAAAATAAAATCTTACTCATCAACACAATGAGCTGCAGTGGCTATCCAGTTGGCGTTTAGAATAGCACCTCCACATCTATGTGTACTCGCAAAACCAAAGAATGATGACCTTCGCACAGACACCTAAACAAAAACGCAGTACATTACATTTACATTTCATGAGCTGAATGAAATTTGTGATATTGTAGGACAGGTTTAACGTTGTACATAGTAACAAATAAAGTAAACAGAAAAATACAATTGTCAAAGGTCATACTCATATTTGATACAAAGGTACTGTTAAAGGTCATACGCTTATTTGTTGATTGGATAAATTGGATCTGGAGGCAAAAGTGCCAGTAGTGTTTAAACTGCATTGTAAAAATCGAATATTCTTTTTCAATTACAGTTGATTGATTGAGTGTAGAGTTTAGTGGCACAAGGTCCAAACGAGGACATGGTGTGCCAAACAGTACGATTTGCAATTGCAGTTGAATCGCAGTCTGTTATAATACGGAAAACTGAAACACTACTGTAAAATTATTCCATAAAAAAGGAAAGATCACCGTAATGTCTTGGAAATCACAAACCTTTGTATTTACTGTAAGGATAGAGCTAATTAAAATGGTGTAATAAACTATGTCTGACGTACAAAGAGGGATATTAAGTAAAATAAGAGGTGTCAAAAGTAACTAAAGTACTTCAGAGTCTTGAATCATGCCCTACAGAGTACACAAGTATTAATACTATAGATGGGACAAAAACTGTCAAAATATTATTAATAATAATAACACAATTTGTAACTGAGATATGTAAAAGCAACTAAAATTAGCTACGCTAATTACTATGAGCTTTAAAGAAAATTTTGCTTCACTCTGCATTGTAATGAAGATGTTTGTTTTTAGATATTGGTATATTTAAAATAGCAATAAAATACGAGCTATTTAAATTAGCAGTAAATATTTTAATTACATACATTTATTGAACAAAAACAACACTAGCTACATCTTCCATTCCAGGTTCTAAGTTTCAAAATTAGCTTATATGATTTTTTTTAATTTTACACCGAACAAAAAAGTTTAAAAGTTTCGAAAAAAATTATAAGTGGCTGGTTTTAAAACCTAAAGCCCTATTTACAACGTTAAGCTTCCTTCTAAAATGAGTCGGTTTAAGACGATTGTCATTTTCCCCCTATGCTCCTATTGAACTCTATAATGAGTAAATTGTAATAAAACGTTTCTCTTCTTCATTTGAATATTAATTTACTATACCTTATGCTAATAAAATTGACTTCATTTCTAGCAATAATCCTGAAATATACATTAAGGGTGGTCATTTTGGAACACCTCATGTAACAAAATACAATATATAAATAAATTTTACCTGCCAAGGCCATTCTCCAAAAGATGAATGTGTTCCACCAACAACTTTACTCTTCGGAAATAAGGCTGGAATTCCACATTCTGATTTCGAAGAGAAACATTGTAAAGGAATTAGATGTAAAAATTAAATAATACTGGGTTAAAATTAACTTATTTCTTCCGAAAAAAAGGTTAAATACAACTATATAGCTGTCGAAATTTAGAATATTCAGCATTTAATACTCTCAGATAACTATCTAATCAAAGTTAAAGACCATTCGTATTTAAAAAAAAATGATATTAAGTAGAGGAATATTTTATTTATGTTACAATATTGTAAAATAAATAAAATATCTAAAACGTTAATACCCTCCAAATTTGATGAAAACTTTATTATTATTTATTATTTTCATTAAGTTGAACGATAGTATCACGTAATAAGTTTAAGAATTATATTATCGTTAAAATTCGAACGATGTTACGGTTCAAGTTTTATGTTCAAGTTATATCACAAAGTTTTTAACAGTGTGTGTAGTTTTCACTGCTGCTAGTAATTTAATTGCTTAAATTTAAGAAAAAAAATTATGAACCGATTAAAAAAAAAAAAGGTAATTTGTTTAAAAATAAAATCCTATGACGAACAGCGATATGAACGTTAATAACCGTTCTATCAGCAGTATTCAAGTTGGTATCAAGCTTGACTTTTTATATATATATATATATATATATATATACAGTGCACTCTCGATTATCCGGGTTAATCACCGGTACAGGTCGCACGGACAATCGAAAAACACGGATAATCCGAAAACTCCCTTTTTTTTAAAGAAAAAATCAATATCAGTACAAAAAATATAAAAATTACTGACATTTGCATGCTGTTTAACATCAAACTAGTAATTTTCCTTTTAAAAAAATGTGTAATGTGTCTTCGCTATATATCGATGCACATATTTTACGAGCCGCAGTAATGTCACCGTAATCAAATCCTCCCCTATAATCTAATAAAGTTTCCACAGAGCAGCAGAATGAGAAATTGTATTTCCCTCATTTACTACATCTTCTGCATCAGTTACTATTATCACTATTTAATTTAACAACAAAACGATGTCTTCATCTGTCAAATACTGGAACCCAGGCTCGCATGCATCACTTTGAAACCAGTCTTTTAAATTTTCTTCATCAAGAATTTCGATACCTTAGATTTCTATTCCTTGTTCAAGAATCCTGTTATCATATTTTTCCTGAATATTTGAAGAAGATTATTCATCAAGCAGTATGATCTTTCGCCGCGATCGTGATAACGTAGACGATTTTACCTTTGGCCGTGCTGCTGATATTCCATATACAGCAATCCAACAACGAATTTGCTTTCTTGAATTGCTTCAAAAAATTTTGTAATGTTATAACTTCACGAATAAAATTTTTTTAAACTTGAAAATATTTATCTTTATATTTTTTGTGTGACTCCGGAATGAGCACGGATAATCCGCAAACCGGATAATCCGAGCACGGATAATCGAGAGTATACTGTATATATATATATATATATATATTGCACATTCAAGTAATGTTCTTCATTTTAAGACTAAAATAATGAAATAATTGCGCTTGGGTCCTAAATCTTTATCTAGAAAAGTCCTTTTTGAATTACTTCTAATTAATATTATTTAGACAACGCATTCCTTGTAATTTAAAAAAATATAATTACCTAAAGAATCTCTATTATCAGGCTTGGCTGTTGTTGTTGTTGATGACGTTTGTTGAGCCACTGTTGATTGAATGGTAGATGATGATATAGGCCTTGCATTCGTTGTTGGAAAATTAAACGTGCCAATCGTCAGCGGAGCTGTTGTCATGAGGATTGGAGGTTTTGTCACTACTGTTGTTTGAACACTAGAAGCGGCTGGTTTCACTTTATTAGGCAAATCACCTTTTGGAGGAGAAAAGGGTGGCATAGATGAATTGCTAGAAGACCCTGAGGATCCTGGAACTAGATTATCTTCCTCTTTTGGCAATGAACAGCATGTTCCTACCAAGAAACGGTCCACGCAGGGTCCGAGTTGAACACCATCTGATTTGATGCATTGCCATACAAACATGCATGTTCCTTTGTCTCCCATGGCATTTGTGCAGCTCTCTGGTCGAATTTTGATGGTAGATGCTGAAATAAAGAATGCAAATTAATTTTAAATGCAAATATAAATAGTTTTGATGACAGTTTCTAAAATAAGGAATACGAATGAGATAAATTGATATGCAAATATAACTTTGATGGTAAATGGAGAAATTAGGTTAGGACTGCTAATTTTTGATGGTAGATTGTGAGTTAAGACAGACAAGTTTAGGCATTTTTTAAAAACACATACGAATTGGAAAAGTACATCAGAATTCAATTGATTGTGTGGTTCAGCGATTGAGTGGAATATGTTTGGAAGTAAATACAGCAGATACTACTTTTATTTTAGAGGCATTGAACAGCCCGTTCATAGATCTGTGGTGATATAAATGTTTAATTCCATAACCTTGTGATTCTGAACACAATACGTAAGGTTGGGAAGGTACTGGATCAAACACTGAAATAAGATTGCTTCAGTGGTGAGCTTTTTGAATGGCACTCTGCATTTTCGCTGCATGGAAACTATCGTGGTCGTTAGAGCGGTGATTGGTGCGAGTCGGCAGAAGCATACTAACTGACCGTTCGTGGAGTCTGGATTTAAACCACAGTCATCATTTTGGAATTAGGAAGTCCTATACTGGGAAATAATGGCTAAACAGACAATAATTGTGAAAAAATTCATGTGTTTTACAAGAGCAAATTTAATATTCTAAATCGTTAATGATTTTATTTTTCAATTTTCAACTTTTTATATGATTTTAGAAATATTTGTTTTAAGAAATGTTAGGAAATTATCAATATTTGTGTCGTGCTTTTAAAGCTTTTTAATTTCCTCTAAAAATTGAATTAAATCTAAAGTTATAGATCAAAATATGTTCCTCTTTATTGAAATACTTCCGTATTATTTTATTTATGATCACATTAAGAGCGTACATTGTATTTGAGAATATGGATATGTTATGAGAGAAACGATAAATTAACATAACTATAATTCATAGTGTCTATGTAATTTCTTAAGCAATTGGCCACAGACGCAACGCAGAATATTAGTTGCCAGCAGTCAATACAAACTACTGTTCGCTTTTTCTATTGTACTACAAAGCACGTTATACTAAAAACTATGAAAAGAAAATAGCGTTAAAAGTAGTTTCTGCACTTGCAGCGTGTTTCAAGTTTGACCAATGATTTCACACAGTAATTTAAGGCTGTTAAGCTGCTCCAAACATAGGCAGCATTCCTTGATTAATAGCTTCAAATAAAATGGTGTTACAAACTAAGTGTAGCAGAAAAAAAAACAATAAAAATAAAAGGGGGTCTACATATTAACGAGAAAAACTGAAATCCCTTGATCGATATTTCTTAGTGGTCATATCCATTTTAAATCTGTGTTTGATTTTATTAAAAATTAATTCTCCTTATAAATAGTTAATAATCTTAAAATAGTAATAATAAAAACAGTGGGTTTTGAAAATTACTCATGATTTCTGGAGAAAAAAAAAATTGATACCATTATTAAGATTCTCAAAATTGCACTAAAATGTTTAAAATTTATATTTAGAGATTAAACATTGATTTTTAAGAATTCCCCCTTGAATGTTATTTAAAAAAATTCATTTTACTAATAATACAAATCTCAGTTTCTTTTAATAATATTAATGTTTAATTTACATGAGATATATTTTTTCCCTTCCCTTAGCAGAGCTATTGTAATTAAGCGCAAAAGTGGGAAAAAAAGTGAATATCAACACATTCATTATTTCTTCTAAGCTTTTTTCTTTTTTAAATTTGTTTTAAAACATGGATATAAATTTGTTTCAAAACATGGATAAAAATTTGTGACAAAAATATGAATAAAAAGAAATTTAATTATAAACTAAGTTTTATCCAAATGAAATATTCGGAAAAGAAAAAAAAATGTTTTAAAAGAATTATTCTTACTTATATTTCTTAAAAAGATTAAATACAAAACATTTCTTGGCAAGGATAAATTTTAGACAATTTTGTGATCAAGTGCTTTGTATAAAGATTTCTTTTTGTAATGTTATTGTGTAGTTGTAAATTTTGCTTACAGATGGCAGCACCATTCACTTAAAGAGTTAAATAACAAAACACAAGATGGCAGCACCATAAATGATTTCGTCTTTCTTTGAAGTCAGGCAAAACTTTTTCTTTCTTAGAATTTGTTAAAAAAAAATTAATGAAAAATCGCTTTTTGAATTCTGAGGATGTCATTCTTTTTGTGAAAAGCAAAATACTTAAAAGATAAAGGAAAAATCCTAAAATTTAATTTAAAAATTTTTGGGAGTGCTTGTTAGTTATAAGTTCAAGGGTTAAAAAATATTTTTGATTGCACGTTTCTCTTGGCATAGCATAGCATAGAGAAAATATGTATGTATATAAAAATAAGTACGGATTTAAAAACGAAATATTCAAGACATTTTGACAATACATTAACAGTTATTTAAACTAAATTGCGTTGAAGACAAAAACACAAAAGCATTTCTGGTGCTTATATGAGTATATGTTCGTTATTTGCTTCTCAGTTTGTGTTTTGTGATACAATAAAAGGTCTTCAATTAAAAAGTAAAGGAAAAAATAAAGGAACAAAAAATTTCTTTTATACATAAATTGGTATATTTAAATTTAAAAATAAATAAATATATAATTTAAAACATTTTTTTAAAAATATTTTTAAAAATCTCAAGAATCAAAAATCTATTAAAATAATAATAATAAAAAAAAAATTAAGATTTTAAAGTTCTGTGAGAAAAAAAAATTCTGCTTCGAAAAATACTTTGAAGTATTTTTAAGCAGAGATGGGAGCTAACATATCCGGTACTTTTATAAATAATTTTGAAATTTTATCAAACAATATTATACACAAATTTTGAAATTTGAGTTTTTATTATGCAATTAACATTAGAAATGCTACATTCTAGTACATTGGTTAGAACCGCACTAAAATTTATGACAATTACAGCTTTAATAATTAATTATTGTAAGGAAATTATTGATTGAAAAGGCGCACATTGATCAGAATAAATTCTAAACGAGAATGATAAATTATCTTCCTTGAATGAGCAGGATTTTCCTTATTTTGTATCGATGCATAATTTGTAAAGCTGTTAGTAAGATAGACTATTAAGCGTTGAGTTTAAAACTAAAAGTTTTAAAATCCTTTTAACAGTTGGTGCAAATAATAAAGAAGGGCAAATGATAGAAGTTAATTATAATTAGAAAATTGTTCGGCTGCTATTTCGGTTTATTTTAAATCAGATGGATCAAATTAGTTTAAATTTTTTAGTCTCTATAAAATGTTGCTGAGTAAGAACGTAGACCAATGTTTGCATTCACGATTAATTTCCTGTCGTTTGCAGTTGGTCTGCCGCGACCTATTATATTGATTTGAAAAACGTTTTGTTTATTGACGAACCATTAACAGAAAAGCAATCGGGATTTTTTGATTTTAGATTAGGGATTATTCTAAACTGCAATTAGAGGTATAAAAAATAATAAATAAAAATAAAAGGACACTTTTCATAGAGCGCCCTGAGGCATTTTGATAATTTCAAAAGATAAAATCTTAAAAATTTTGACATCTGCTACTTTTTTTATTCTATAGGATATTACTGAACATTAGACTGCGGGGCTGTACCGTGTGGGAAAAAAAATGGAACATCTTGAATAATTTTTGATCTAATTATCAGATCTTCACATTCTAGGACTCTCTCTCAATGTCTTAAAGGGTAGACTTCGAATATAATGAATTAATGCAAACGATATTTTAAGTTACAGAATGAGACATAAAAACGTACGTTCTCTAAAAAAATATACCTTTTTGGGATTTCTGCTAATATACCTTTTTTTCTGATTTGGATTTCTGTTAATATACCTTCTTTTCTGATTTGGAATTTTGACTCCAAAATATCGTGGGAAGCCGCAATGGGAAATATGATCTCAAAAGTTTGGACAGGAGAGTGGTTCAAGGTTTAGACCCTTTAATGTTAATTTTATTTTTTGCATATTTAGCTTTACTTCAAGAAAATTTTAAGTGAATTAAAAAATTTTTGCAAACAGTTATAAAATTCGTTTAATATTCGGAATTAGTTCGATAATTCTATGCCAAAAATAACTTTTAGTTAGCGTAAAACGTTTAGTTTAGCTAATACTTCTAATTATTTTATAAAATAGTCGAAAAACTTTGAATTGGAAGGGTGTACAATATTTTAGATTATTTTAAGAAATGTACGTGACAAAAAAAAAAATTGAATGAAATAGGTCAATAGTTTTCAAGAAATCAAATTTTGAAAATGTCGTACTTTTAAAATTCGAATTTTCAACAACTATTTGATCGATTTTGCTCAAATTTTATATGTAAAATTACGTTATTTAAAATGGTGTAAAAATTGTATACCTTACAATTAAAATTTTTTTGGATTATTATTAAATAAAATAAATATTAACTACGAGTTATTATTATTGTTACTTTTTTATTTATTTATTTATTATTTTTTTTTTGCATGGGACTATCTTTGGATAAATACATTTTATAGTTGTGACCTTTCAAACCTTCAAAAACCTTTCAATTTGCTTAAAAAGTTCTCGAAACATGGTGAAATGCGCAAAAAAATAAATAAATAAATAAATAAAATTAATATTAAAGGGTCAAAATTTTGAACCGCTCTCAGACCAAACTATTGATACCATATTTACCAGCTTGCTAGACTAGTCAGAAATCAGAGTCCATCGAAAAAATGTTCATTCAGAAAAAGTACGCTTTCGTGTCTGATTTCGTAATCTTAAACTTCATCTACACTAACTAATTAGCCTATTTGTATTGGTCTTCCCTCAACCTAGGAAGATCGAGTCCTAGAACGTGAAGATCCAATCATCAGATCAAAAGTTATTCAGGGTGGTTCGTTTTTTGTTTCGAAAGTTACAGCAGTTCGTTTTTAAAAATCCGTATAGAAATTTTACTATTAGTTTTTTTTTTAAATTTGAGGACGCTTATCAGCTAAATAAAATAGCTTAATTGGATAGTAAAAGCTCAGTTCTGTAAAATGTACTAGTGCTGGTTACAGTAGCCGTTTCGGTTCTTTATTACAATACTGAAATAATTATTCTCGAATATATGATTTGTGATCCATATACTGTTTTTTACTATGCTGTAGCACATTTTGTTTAAATAAAGAATGATTGTTTACGCTAGTAAACTATTTAGTTTTAATAAATCACAGCGAGGGGATGAAAAACTATTCAAATAGTAATTATTTCGCTACGCTGTCGGTGAGACTTACGAAATAGATTTTGAAATGGTGAATAAATTATTTATTACTGAAAACCGTCTTCCAATTTTTTAGCTACCTTACAACATGTAAAATAGAAAAAATTCGTACAGTAAAGAAAGGAATGATTTTGGCACTTACCATTTTGTCCAATAATTAGAAAAACAAGAAGCGTGTAATACATCAAAGTGCATGCTTTTTGGTATTGACACTTCATTGTAATACTAAGGGCTTTACCTAAAATAAATGGAAATGAGGATTAAATTAGATAATAAAAATAAATATGCAAATTTTATAGCAGTTTAGGTACATAGGAGATGAGAAAAAAAACTAGATTAATGACATCCTAAATTTAAAAATAGTCTAATACTCCATTGCAGATTCAAGGTTTGAATAAATGAATAAGGAATTCTATGGCACAAGAACCAGAAGGCAATAAACTGTTTCAAAACAAACGACATGTACTAAATATAACGATACAAAATGGTGTTATAAACTAAGGCAGACAAAGAATTAAAAAGGAAAATGACAAATAATTACTGTTCCGTTGTTATCAGTTATACTGTTGTTATCAGTTCCCAGTTGAGTCAAAAAAAAAATCGAAAATTTGAATCACAGTATCGTACAAACTCAATAGGATGCTAAATTTAACATCGTTACCCTTCATGTTATGTACTGTATTGAGTAAATAAGTTTAGTAAGAAATGACTTACACGATATGTTTAATTTGGCACTATGTTCAAATTTGCTGCAAATCGCAATAATGTCATGGTTCAACATGTGCTTACATTTTTAACAATGTGCAGCGCATATAATAAAAATGAATATATATNAGAAATACGCATCAGATAAATTTTATAGCGCCAGCAGGACGAAATTTTGCGTTGGTGTACTGCTTTAATTTTGAAATGTTCAGTTTATTTAGAAATAAAAGCCCAGATTTTCTTTTCAAAATTTTTTCTGAACTTAATGTTTAAAAAAATATTTGAAAAAATTCTAAAACTAACAGCACACTTTTTCTTTTATTATTATGATTATTATAAACTCACACACAAACAATGAAAGATATTTAAAACACATATATTTTGAATTTAAGGTAGTTAAATTTAAGATTCTTGACAGACAACATTACATACCAACGTAATCTATTAGCGTTATAAACTAAGTTGGACACAAAAATTGAAAAAAGAAACAGAAAATAAAAATCAATAAATATTGATTTTTTGAAACTTTTGCTTGTTTATGATTTCTAAAATAATAAACCTTTATACAATACACAGACAGATTAAGCTTAAGAAAATCTTTAACTGACAAGTATTACTAAATTTTAATTATGTTCATGCATAAACTAGTATGTAAACAATTTATGCATCGTTATATGACAATATATGATGAAATTGAAAAAAAAGCTTTGATTTTTTATATACAAAAACACCAAACATGTACAAAAGTGCAAATTTACAGCGGCAGTAAATTGCACTAACTTTTACTTTGATTTAAAAAATGTGACTTTCAAAAGTATTCAGTACAAGAGAAAATAAATTGATCCTCTAATATTATATAAATTCATTCAATTTGATTTTAACATAAAATGAGACGCAACAAAAGAAAAATCACTTCGATTACATTCTACTCGTACTATGAAGTAGAACATTTTCACTATAAAGTTGAGATTTTCCTTTAAAATAATTACGTTTTCGGAGACTATTATAAATTAAACATGAGGAAAAAATACAGCTTGATAGAATTTTCAAAGTGTTAGTTAAAGTTTAGAATAAAATTTATAACGTGAAGTATTAAATTTATAACTTAAAATATTCAAATAAAAGATGTCATAACACCAAGTGCAAAGTATAAAATTTATAGTTTTTACATTATAGATATACAGAATGTAAAAGATCATATTTATAGGGAAAATTATTTAAAATTAATTAAGTTTTACTAAGTGTAAAGTATTAAATTTATAGTAAATATTATTCAATTCAAATTAAATTGTTTTGTAGAGTGTAAAAAAAAATAAATTTAGAGTGCAAGTCATTCAAATTGAAATTTCAAAGTATTAAACTTTTTAGTGCAAAGTAATAAAATTTAACGAGCAAAAAATAAATCTAATGATTCCCTGTACTAAATATTATTTCAACTTAAATCCATGCATAAAGTTTTTATTTTATTTTCAAGCTATTATACAGTTAACATCTAAGTAGTACTCTCTAGAAAACTCGCAATCGATCAAACGAACATGTAAAAGTATTTCAAAGCATTTTCGAAGTTGAGTTCAACTTAAAATGAATCAAAGGTTCTGTGATTTCTTATTTTTCGAAAAAAAACTTACATTTTCGAATTTCAGTTAGTGTAGTTCAATTTCATGTCTTAATCAGATTTTTTTAAAATAAGATTTACAATTTTTGATTCAAATATATTAGGTTGTTAAAGTTCTGCACCACCCTTTGCTGAGAGATCTTGTTTATAGCAGTAATGAATCAAAGGTTCAGCTTTATCCAAAGCCAATTAGAGCTTATTGATGAACTAAGAATACCAAAAACAACACAAAATAAAAATTCATAAAAGTTGAAATTTTCGAAAAGTCGAATTTCGAGTATTATAGAACTTTTTTAACAACCTAATATAAAAAAAAATATTTAATGTACTTCTTAAACGTCCTGTTAACAAATTTTGCATATTTGAAAGCTTCCTCTTAATTAGACAGTTTTCGCATCTGATATATTTACGAAGTTCATTTTCATCTCGGAAACCAACAAGCTTGAATACTGATTAAGTTTGAACCTTTAGGATACAAAAAGAAAAACTTCCACAGAAAAAATTTTTTTTGTCACATGAATGTTTAAAATGTTTTTCGTTAAAACCTCACGTGTATTCTCTTAAAGAACAATTTAATTAAATTTATAATTCAATCAATGTGATCAATTTAAATGCAAATCCGAAAACATTACAAATTAAACAGATTACAAAGCCATTAGAAAATAAACTTTACTTACGAGTAATTAATTCAACGTGTTTGCAGTTTCAGTCGTCTTAATCCGAATAAATGTTTATTGATTTCAATAATCCAAATACGAATATAATTCAAGAATGAAAAATAATTATTGGTTTATATGAGTTTCTAAAAACAATTGTACTTTTTAAAATAATTGTTTTAATATTTACAAATATTAAGTACAAAATAATATTCTCATAAGATCACACTTTCAATCGGATTAACGACCTTCTTCGACCACAAAACCGCAGATTAGTTTCACTTCAATTTTTTTAAGAAACAATTTGTGTAAGGCTGTTATGGGGGGCCTCCCCGGCCGAGCAGTCTCGTCGTTCCCCTAAACTCTCAGCAGCGTTGAGGTAAAAGGTTCGAATCCTACTGTAACCATGAATGCATCATAGCGATGTCTTCCTCTAACTTGAGCTATCTATTTTTCAACTTGATCTGTAAACCGTATTTTGTAGTGAGCAGACAAGCCTGCATATATATGTGTAACAATACATACATAGAGCTTCCTTATCGGAGCGATCTCGCCGTTTCGACAATAACTTAGTAGTGTGGAGGTAGCAGGTTCGAATCCCTGGATTTTAATTTGTGATACTTTAATATGTGCTGTATATTCTTCAATTTTTACAAGGACTTACAAGTCTTTTTTATAATGAGCACACAAATGTAACAAAAAGTAAGTAAATAAATTTACAATAAATAAATAAGCAAGCTGGTATGGCCGAGATAATGAAGTGACGGACTGAGGTAGAAGATATCAAGTTCGTGCCAAGTCATACAAAAACTTAAACGATTCAAACGTAAGTGAACAGCACTTGTGCTGATAAACTGTTCTCCAACGCGATGTCATACATGAGGTGATCAGCGCCCTCAAAAGAAACTAAGGAACATATAGCAAAATTTTCAAAAGGACAGTCGAAAACTGTCCTCTTTACGTTTTTTTTAAAAAATATTTATGTTTAAGAATCCCTGAGAGGGATCTCTGTTCTAAGAATATTAATTTAGAAAGATAAAGTCCCGCAGTGAACTGATCGTTAAGACACGGTACCCAGCAGATCGCCGAAGTCAAGCATCACTGGCTGCGGTCAGTGTGCGAGTGAGTGGACCACTTGGATTGGTCTGCGTAGGGACCGAGGGTGTCCGGTATTGGTCCTCGTTAAACTGTTCTACCGTAAAGTGCTCGACTTCGCGTGCAGGTCGTCGGGCTATCGAAGTGGGGGTGCCATCCTCTCTGAAGAGGATCAAAATTGAGATGGTATGTCTTCGGATCATCCTTAGGGATGTTTCCAGACCGTCCCCAATAGTCCATTGTGCAGCTCTAGTGCGACGTAAATTAACTACAACTACAACAACAACAGAACCGAGTAACGGGTGTGAAGAGGTTAAAAGATAAAAATTTATCAAATTAAATATCATTCTACATAGTCATTTTCATTTCGATAAAGTAGAATCATAATTAGGTGTGGTGAATACGGTATAAAGGATAAGAAGTACGGAGATAAATTTTGTCTCAATTCACCTTTAAACGGCATAATTATCTTCCACAACCTCTGATTAAGATAAAGCAGAATCCATAGAAGAGTCGTTGCAAACACTGCTCATATTTGACTGTAAAAACAACAGAAAAAGCAATTGCTACATATTTATCAAGTTATCGTAACTCAGCTCGAGATCGGTTAATCACGAGTTCGATGTTAATTCAAGTTGTAGCTCTAGTTCATTTACGTCGCACTAGAGCTGCATAATGGGCTTTTGGCGACGGTTTGGGAAACATCCCTGAGGATGATCCGATGACATGCCATCACAATTTTGATCCTCTGCAGAGGGGATGGCACCCCCGCTTCGGTAGCCCAACGACCTGCGCGCGAAGTCGAGCACTTTACGGTAGCACAGTTTAACGAGGACCAATACCGCACACTCTCGGTCCCTACGCAGACTAATCCACGTGGTCACCCACCCGCACACTGACCGCAGCCAGTGATGCTTGACTTCGGTGATCTGGTGGGAACCGTGTCTTAACGATCAGTTCACTGCGGGACCGATGTCAATTCAAAAACGAATATTTTATTATTATGCAATCAAGACTACACAGACACAGTGATTGAAGACCTCAAGTTTCTGTCCCGAAGTCACTAAAGAAATTCAATTCTCAGAAACTTAAGCTTGAGGTAATAGCCTTAGCTCTATTTTTTCGAACTATAAGGTCATTGATATTGATATAAGACAAACTTTCAATAAGTTAAGGAAACACACTCGGTATTATGCAAAGAATAAGACGAGGTTTTTATATAAAAAAAGAATTTATCTTTTTACCTTTCATCGTCTGAAATATCTCCTTATCCAGTTATGAAGAGAATCCGCTTATGAATACTGCAAATATTTCGCTTATAAAATGGCAACAAAGGCCCAATTTTTTCAGATACATGAAGGGTTTGCCACGTCATGGCTCGTCTTGATAGTAGAAGATTAAGAGTTTCATTTCAAATAAAAATTAATTTGTGTAGTGTTATGTTATCTGAATTCCTATCAGACAACAACAATGACAACAAATTTACTTATTGTTTGACCTAAATCTCAGCATAATGGCTTGCACATTTCTACATTTCAAACTTTTTTTTTTGTTGGTCTCTTCGGCTAGGGAGCAATGTGCTCTCCCCAAACACCCTGAAGTATGAAGGTAGCGGGTTCAATTCCTGCTTTCCCTGTATGCTATGTTTCCGTATTTTAAAAATTGTCAAATGCTTTCTGATGAGTTTAGAAACTTGCTGATTTTTAATGAAGAAGCAAGCAAACCTGCATATGTTATAAATAAATGAAGAAAAAAAAACAAAAACAAAAAGAATATTTTTCTTAAAGTGTTGTTTGTTTAAGTCGGATATTTATTGTTTAGTAAATTTATTCATTTTAAAATTATTTGATCTTTCTGATTTATATTTTACATTTACANTCAGGAATTCATTCGCCTAAATTCTAACAATAAAATTCTTTCGTCCATGAATCTTATTTTAATGATTTTTCAACACAAAAAATTTTTGTATCCAAAACTTTTCACTGTTAAAAAATTATTAAAATAAGATGTCATTCATTGGTAGTGGAAATGATAAATAGTTATAATAATTTAAAAAAAAAAATCTTTAATGCATCGGGTAAAAGTCTTTACGACGCGCGGCAATGCTGCTCTCCTAAAAGCCGCTAAAGCACATTTAAACTTTTCTTTTTGAATCAAAAAAAACTTTGAAACAAAATACTATAGTCAGAAATTGTATTAAATGAAATGTGTCGGAGATTTCCTTTTCGTTTCGAGTCTAAGTAATTGACAGAAAAAACAAAAGCTAGTAATTGAGAAGGTTCTCATTCAATGAAGACTTTATTTAAGCTGACTGTCTGTTAAAAAGATTATTTATAATTTTAATATTATATTATTAACATAATATTATTTGTAAAAGAGATTATTCATAATTTTATTATTACATTATTAGCCAAATAATATTAAAAAAAATTATTACAAAAAAAATTAATATTGTACACTTTAAGTTATATAAATTATTTAAAATTATTATAATTTTATCATTATATTATTAGTATAATATTATTATGTTTTTTTTTTCAAATGGCAGGCACTGAACATTATTCTTCGCCTTAGAATATGTCGGGATTGTTACTCATTTCACGTTACCCAGTGGGCACCTGTGAACCAAAGTCACAGAGGTGAGCAACATTACTCACGCCACAAACCCGCTTATGGGGTGGGCCACATTCACACACAACAGAGTACAACACAAGAGAGAGAAACATCCATGCCCAGAGTGGGATTCGAACCCGCAACCATTGGCTTCGCAGTCAGGCGCGCTAACCGCTCGGTCACCTGGTTGGCATAACATTATTTGTAAAAGAGGTTATTCCTAATTTTTTTAATCATATTATTATCATAATATTATTTGTAAATTACGTTATTCATAATTTTTTTATGATATTTTTAGTATAATATTATTTCTAGAAGAGGTTATTCATAATTTTATTATTATAATATTATTAGCCTTGATATTTAAAAAAGGCAGTGATGTTTTTTTCCCTACCGTATTTGGGGCTACTCCTATGTCTTATTTATTTGCCTTTATTAATTAACTTTTTCTCTTCCCATTTTTTAAAAATAAAATAAAAAAATTTTTTTATTATAAAAAAACATTTTATTATAAAAAGTAATTTTTTGCGTCATTTTCTGGATAAGACAATTAACTTAGTTTCATTTTAAACATCAAAATTTTATATTGGATACCATTGTTTAATAAAAAATTTTTTTCATTTACAGTCTTTTGCAAAATATATGTACTTGAAAGTGGTATGCAATTATAAAATTATTGGTTTGTAATACTAAATAAAATTCTTAAAAAAATAAATAAATAAAAAAAAAAAAACAGGAAACAAATCTCACTATTCATGCTTATTTCAGTTACGATTGAGAAATTCACTTTCTTCTAAACTGTTTTTAAAGTCCGTTTTTTTTCTTCTTGAAAATGTTATAATATGCTTTTTTGGAACGAACATAAAATTTACCCATTGTCTGCGAATTCAGGTGCAAGTTTTTGAAAATAACCATTTATTCCCATTGTTCACTCTAGTGAAAGTTTTAGAAAATCAAAAACATCCGGAACAGTAACTGAAAACAATGCCGACATCCGGAACTGCAATTGTTTACTATACAAAACATCGATGTTAAACGGAATGTGAAATTGCAAGGAAAAGTGTTATCGTTTATTTATTTATTTTTCTTGTCATATATATATGTGTCTAATTACTTAACATTTACCCGATACCTAAGTGACAAACGTATTTTAAAATTTGCGAACATAGGGTGGTTAACAAGATCGATTGAGATTACTTGTAGTAATTTCTGAAATGTAATAAAAAAAATGTATTCCAAAAAATTCCATTTTCTGCTGACACGTTTTCAGAGATTGCCCAAAAGTGCGAGAAAGTTGTGTAGACACCAAAAAACGTTGAGAATTAAGATAAAATATATATTTGAAAGNACAAACGTATTTTAAAATTTGCGAACATAGGGTGGTTAACAAGATCGATTGAGATTACCTGTAGTAATTTCTGAAATGTAATAAAAAAATGTTTTCCTGCTGACACGTTTTCAGAGATTGCTAAAAAGTGCGAGAAAGTTGTGTAGACACCAAAAAACGTTGAGAATTAAGATAAAATATATATTTGAAAGTTTCCAGAAAAATGTTTAAAAAAAATTGTTTCTAAAGATTTTTCGGCATAAAATT